GGTCACCGGCTGGACGTGAAGGCCTCGGGAGTCTTCGGTGGGTCTCGTCCTGGAACGGCACCGCATCCCACGGGCTGCGAGGTGATGGGTTTCTGTGCGGGGAAGAAGCGGTGAACGCTCAGCCGTTACCCAGTAGCAGCCCCTGGGTCTCACAACCCAGCTGGGAGTATAGATGCTAAAACACAGAAGAAACGATCCAACAAGACACTGGCAATGCCAGGAGGCCGGTGCGGCCCCTTACCCCCAGCGCGCAGGGCTTTGCTGTGAGACACCAAGCTCCTGCCCGTGACACCGTCCGTGATCTGCCACGCAACCCCTCGTCTCCACTCCACTGCTTGAATTGGCTTTGCTGTGGCCGGCGTTGCTAAGCATTTGCCCTGAAGTACCTAGGTGGAAGGTTCTGGGGAAATCCAAGAGTCCTAGTTACAGTCTTATGGTTTTAATGACAGGCAATAATTTGGGGGTCTAATTGCACTGCTCAGACATGACTTCTAAGGAGATACGGCCCTGTCCAGGGGGGAAGAAAAGTACCGTGAGTGCACAGCGCTGTGTAAATGCATCTCAGTAGCTTTCCGTGTGGCTCAATAACAGGTTCCCTGTCTTCTGTGTTTCAGTACTTGGCATAGGCCACGGGAACGCGTTACTCACTGATCTGTACAACTGCCACCTGACCAAGGTAGGTGATGGCTCTGAAGGGCCTCAGAACATCTGAGCGCAACCTCACACTTGATTCCTGCCCCGGTGCCCCAGACTGGCCTTGTGGTGGTGATTCTGCTTTTGAGTCTCAAACCCGCCGGTGCTTTTGAGAGCTTTTCAGGGTCCAATTCATCCTTCATGTGAGCGTCCAGACGTGGCTGTATGAGCAGAGGACGCTGCTGTCTTTTTGTGCAACATCATCATAGCCTGCACTTCCTAGCAGCTGCACAGCAGAATACTGCTACTCAATCGCCTGGAGCGTGTCTTTGAGAAATTGCACTCTTTGCCCTTCTTCAAGGTTTACACTGTCGGTGGGCTGTTTGGTAAAGCCACTGATGACTTCTCAGACACGGGGAAGCTAGTAGAGAAGACAACGTTTGGTAAGAAACTCAATTGATGTGTTTTTAAAAAAAAAAAACAGAAAACCAAACAAATAGCATTTTAACTGCAAAGCATTTAACCTGGTAAATTGCACAAAGATAAAAGGTTTGCCTTAAATGCTTTCTAGTTTTTATTTGTACATACAGCCCACGCGCAGTCCTGACATCGCAGTCCTGTGCTAAATCCAACTGCAATAGATAGAAAGCCAGTATGAATCCTGATCACAGTGGTTGCTACTGGATTGGGTGGAACCCACATCTCTCCATAAATCGTACCTAGAGATAGCGGTTAGAGGCTTTCATTGAATGAAACTCTTCAAACTGGAAGCCAACATCCTGAAATCAATTAGGCAAAATGGTTCCTCCCTTTGTAGCCCAGCGCTGTGCTGCTCCGTGCGTTACCACGGTACAGCGAGGAGAAGTGACTCTGCTAAAGCCACCTCTCGGCAGTTCTCATCAGCCCATTTCGACATGACTGCCTGCCAAAGGGACAGTAATACCCTGATGGCACGTTTCAGACTGCTGTCTCTTTCCAGTTTCTGGATGGATAATTGAGACTTTGTTTCTACCTTAATATTTGCAGATCATATCACAAGGGAGAAGCTGGAACGGATTCTCGCTGTCATTCAAGGAACAAATCATAAGGCCCTGCTGATGTACGTATCCAGTGGGGAAATGCAGCTGACCTGATCCGACTGCCATTTGTTGGTCTTTAAAACAAATGAGATGATTTTGTTTGCCATAATCAAAGTCTTTAAAGGTTGGAGTGCTAGACAGCAACAGAGAGAAGTTACTCTGAGTGCTCTGTACTCTGGTGAGAGGTTGCACTTAAGTGTCCTCATATCCTGAAATCACCAGCTATTTTAGGACCTATTAGCTACATTAGGACCTACAAAAATATCTTGTAGACGTGACCAAGAACCTCCCTCCCAAACTGTGCTACACTACTGACAGTATATATAACATTAAAATGTATACAAAGACTCAACACAGAGGCAGTTTTAAGAATAAAAATTGCAGCTCTGCTTTATTGGGGGTGGAGATATTTTGAAGCCCATTGAAGAGAAGCACTGAGTGTCTGCTCTGCTCCTTTTTTTCTTTTTCCAGGCATTCTAACATTGATATGAAAACACAAGAGGCATACGAGATGGCTGTCAAAGGGTTGATTCGCCCCATGGGAAAAAGCCCTCCGATAATCACAGCAATCCGATGCCTCCAGCTCACGCTTCCAGAATTCCAGCTAGGTAGGACTGGTACAAAAACTACTGGGGAAGTCTGAGTACATATTATGGCAAATAAGTCGGTAAACTTCGGTTTCTTATTCGTGATTTAATGCAAAATGAGTTGGTGGGAACTTTGTATCAGCTTGTAACTGGTAATCCCTGCAGAAAATTTAATGATTTGTAGTTTCCAAAGTCACAAAAGTATCTCCTCATTAGATGAACTCTTTAGTGTGGTGGAAAGATTTTTTGGTAGGGCAAGATCTGGAACCCTGACAGTACTGAAGCTGCTGTAGTAAATCAAGCCAGCTGTGCACCTAGCTCACAGATTTTTCCCTGCCAGTTCCAGATCTGAGGCAAGAAAGTTTGCATAGTGAATACCTATGGGGCAAAATTCTTCTTTATCCCAATGTTTCAGTGTAATGCAGTTCAGCGTGGTTTGGGTTTTTTTTGAAGCGTGGTTTGCTTTCCTGCAACCAGTCTTCTACTCCTCACAAATTATTTGTCTTATTAAAAAGGTACCTTTTCTTATCCCTTTTGAAATACCTAAATTTCTACATTACTCTCCTGTATCTATGGGTTTGTTTTCTAAAACATTCACTTTGGGAGGTGCTAGGACACCCTGAAGTATTCCAGAAAATTATAATCCACCCATGCTGTATCTTAGGTAGTCTCCTCTACCAAACCAGTTCTTTCGGCATAACCATGAGCGATGTCTGGATTTACAGACAAGGTCTGAATTTGTGTCAACGCTTTGACGGAACCTCTCTGTCCTTCTAGAAATCCATTGCTTGCATGAGACTCAGCAGTACCTCCGAAAAATAGTTCATGAGATTGGTCTGGAGCTGAAATCATCTGCCGTGTGCACACAAGTGCGAAGAATACGCGACGGTGTTTTCACACTGGATGATGCTCTCCTGAGAACCCAGTGGAACCTGCAGAGTATACAGAATGCAATTTGGGACTGTCAGCTAAAAGTGAAAACAGAGTTAGAGAAAACACTGGGCCATCAGGATAAAAGTTGTCTTCGTAAGATGGATGCTGAGATGGCCCACGCTGCAGACAGCTGAGCGTGTGCTACGGAGGGAATGTCCACAAGCAATCTCTGTAGCACAATAACGCAGCTATATGCTGACAGCATGATGGACAGCAGAAGGAAAGAGGTTTACTCTTTCCTTGAGATGACTTTAATCAGTGAGGCATTTTTTTCAGTGACAGGCTGTATAATTTTTTTTAAAGCATCGCAAACAGTTCATTAACAGGAGTCAGCTGTGCCAAAATTCCTGTTGACTTCACAAACATTAGGTTGCTAAGGGATATAAAAACCCATCTCCAAATTGTTAAGCAGCAGGAAATACAGTGTCTTACAGAGCTGTATTCCCTTGGTTGCATGGATTTGTTTGTTCCTTGCAACTGGCAGCATAACTTCTCTACTATATGGACTTTATTTTCCCTCCATTGTCCTAGAGTATTTTCTTTCCATTAGTCCTGCTTTCAGACACAGAAGAGTTCAAAATCAGACTAAAAGAGGGGTGTGCGGCAGAAAACACAGCTTACACAAAGCAATGCAAGGAAATGGTTATATCCAGAGTAGGCATGTGTGGTGAGGAAAGATGCTTGTAACAGAGACCGATGCAGAAGATGCACAAGAAATAAACCCCTAAGTAACCTAAACGGGAAGAGGCTGTTTCTTGGCTCAGTACTCATCTGTGAATACACTGACTCATGAAAAAAGGAGCATGCTGGGTTTTTTTTGTCCTGAGGAACCAAGGGTGTCCAGGGCTCTGTGGTATCCTGCAGACAGCATGTACTGCCCTTCAGTGAAGCCAGTAATACCATTTGTTATCTGTTGGCTCATTATAGCTGGGTCTGACTTAGCAGAAATACACTTTCTAAATTTAAATTAAAAATCTGAAGTTACACTTACCATTATTACACTCAGTATTTTTCCATCTGTACACATTGTTAGAGAGTTTGGAGATTTACTTACAGAAATCAGTAGAAGAGATTTGTTCTTTTCCTCTTTTGAAGTTGGACAAAGGCCAGCATATTTTATCCTCCAGATAGCTGTTAAGGTACAAGAAATAACTCTGGGAGAAGCAGTAAGAGGGGCCGTGATGAAGTGCCTAAGTGGCAGAGTCCAGTCCTGTCCTGAAACATCCCCGAAGTCATTAACTTAGTCCCTGGAATCCTTCAGTTGCTCTGGGTTTCCCCGCACTGCACAGAGCAGCCAGCACAGCAGCGGAGCGGAGCTGCCACCCCGTGGCACGTCACCGTGCCAGCCGCAGAGCCGCAGGGACTCCCCAAGGGCAGTTCGCTCTTACCTCAGCTGGTTGGTTCTGTGTGCGTTCATCCTCCGCGGACAAGGGACTGGGGTCAGGGCACCTTCCTCGGACAACTGTCTTGTGCTAACTGAAGTGTAAACCCATCACTACGGAAGCACGAGTTCTGGAGCCGGGCACAACACTTGCACGGCTACGGCTGCAAGTTTTAGTATTAGTGCTGCTACACGGAGGAGAAAACACAGACTTCTCAGTCCTTAAATAACCTTCAGTAACTTTGGTAATGGAGCATACTTCATCCTATGTGGCTTAGACCTAACGCAAACTGAAGGAATTTCTGTACGTACTTCTCATTGCAAAAAACATTTCCAGTTGCTTGTGCCATTGCCAGGCTAACATTTTGGTTGGAACACTCTGGGCTAAACCGGTTGTTTTGCACAGAAAATACAAGCCAAAACAGGAATGTGGGTTTGGAGAACAGAGTTAGCATTTCCCAGTCCTAGTCTTCTTGCGACTTTTTTCCTCCCCCTAAAACTACTCCAAAACACAAGAATTTTCCACACTTGGCAAGAGGGGAGTTATGGCAGGGAGATATACCTGTAACCATACCCGTGAGAGTCCATTCTTACACAGCCGCAGTAAATGCCCTCCAGAGAAGCACAGCTGCACGATAGCAGAGACTTGCTTGAACGAATCACAGAATAGAGATATGTTGTCCGTCCCCCTGCTTTAAACCCCTCCCCAGGGCTTTTGTGGCAAAACAAGGTACTTATTAGTGATGTTTCTGCACCAGGTCCAGAACAGAGAGCGCAAAACCAATTCTCTATTCTCAGCAGCAGCCTTTGTGATCATTTTCTGGTTTCCAAGCTCTACGAGGACAGATTCATTTGATTCAAAGTTGGAAATAATGAGCAGATGGCAGCATGGGCCTGACTGGAGACCAGAGGGGAAACTCAGAAGTAGAAATGAGCAGAAGGACATCAAGCTTGAGTGAAAAAGGGACAATGGATCTGCGGTCAGCACAGCCCTTCATCACTTAGAACTGCACGAAGCAGCCAAATTTAGTCTGTACAGTCACCCTCAATCCTAACACCTGACATTGAAACATTCATGCTCTCAACATAATTTTGTGTTTAGGACACCGCTCACTTTCACAGTGACTCTGCATTTAGAAGAGAGTAAAGGTAATTCTCTACCTACCCATTACTTGGTAATGCTGCCACACTGTCTCCATTAAGAGTCCTCAGAAAACATTTGAATAATAGATGTTATAGTTACCTCAGAATATAGTTTAAGAATTTGTTTCCAGGTTCATGCAATGTTTTATAGGCTCTTAAAGTGAATTACTGAGAAATGTGATAGCTGCTTTATTCAGACTGGACAGTTCAACGCAACTTCACGTTTTGCCATTTACTACAGAAATGATACAAACCCTCCAGATACCAGAGCAGTTAAGTACAAAAACGCAGAACACCCAGACTTATCCAGATTTGATCATAAACCAAAACAAAACCCCCAAACCACCACAACTTCAGCCTTCTTCCCTCTCTATTTCTGAGGGTTTTTTCTTTTCTTTCAAAGCAGCTATGACATTGCACATTCGTATGCCCGCACTTCCTCTATCCATTCAGTAGTAGCTGCTTCCACCTGCGTATCCAGGTTAGCGTATCCAAATAGCCCCTGAATGTTGTAGAGAAGCAAAGGCTCGATGGGAAGAGTCTTATCATCAACCTGAATTAAAACACTTCCAATAAAAAAAATAAAAATACTGTTGATAAGGTAGTAGACAAAATTATCCGAAGTCCTACATCCCTTTCCCACAAGCAGGAAACAGTTAATAGATTCAACAACTTTCATGTTCCAGAGCTTCTCAGAAATAAGGCTGTTAACCCACACTCTGTTGCAGTTCTACATTCATACTTCCGAGGCCACCTTCTATATAGTTCTAAACCGATATGACACCAAAACATAATGGCCCAGTAACAGTCATTTTTGCAGGATGTGGCAGTCTTCAGGTTCAACACTAGTCGCTCAGCTCCAGATCGTATTCAGGGTAGAGCTGCTTTGTAGTAACTCCTCGGATAACAGCTAGAAAAGAAAGAAATACCGTTGCTTTCATTAAACAGAGATCAGATCCGTCAGAACAGTTGTGTTTTCCTCCCAGTGGCCCCTAACTGTCCTATAGAACCTCCCATAGCTAAGAAACTCATAGCTAAGGCTTTGCAGCTATGCCCTCTGCTTGTCTCGACACTTCTCTTTTTTTAAGCAAATAAAGATTGAAACTGACAAAAATTAGTAAGACTTACCAAATTTTGGTAATCCGTAACACAGACTAAAATACTGGTAAATGACAATTATTTCACAGGTTCAGTTCTAAAAACATCCCAAGAAAATAACGGCAGAAGCATTTGTGCTTGCACAAGTGGTTGGGTAATATAAGCCTAGAATGGAAGAATCTTTAAAACAAGCTCTGCCTTTATGGCATAGTAGCTTCTCTCTGTGTCTATATGAAAACATTGATTAAGAAGTTCTTTAATAGCCTTCCCTTTCCTTACCCAGCTGGCCCAGCAGCATCTGTCCAGCATCTTTAATATCATTATACTCATGGAGCAGAGAGATGTGCTTCTCCAATTCCTCCAGGCTGTAGCCTCTGTAACAATAAAGCCAGAAAGGTCAAAAATGACACAGCGGGACACGGCGGGCCCTGCCACTACCGACCAAGCAAGGATATTCGAGATACCCAAACCTGGCACATCTAAAGCAGAATCTAAAGGCAGCAAATACAGTTGCTGCAAGTCATAAACATGAAAGATACAAATGAGCAAATCCTCATTTTGAGGGTTTTTGACACATCAAGACTTTATCAAAAAAAAACCAACACCCAAAAAAACAATCCACCCGAATTCTCAGAATCAAGTAGAAAAAGGAATAGGCTCTGGTGAATTGGACTTATATGTATCTCTAAACTGCAGCTAGGGAAAAAATTAAGAAGGTCTGTTTATCCTCGAAGCTAAAAAAAAAAAAAACAACCACCTTTTGGAACAGCCTTTGTTGTTCTACCATTTCCATTTTACGCACTACACATTATGTTAGAAAATATCACTCCTTTGCAATGAATAACCCACAGAGATTCCCTCTCTTTAAAAATCAAGCAGCAATTTTATCTCAAAACAGTTGCTAATAAGCAGCTGCCACAGTGTGTCATAAGAAACCACAATAAAACAGTTGCACTACCCTGTACGTGGCACCCATCATGCCAGGTTGTTCTTGCCTGGAAAACAACTCTGCTTCTTGAACACACTCGCCTCAGACACAAAACAAGTGAACACTTGATCAAATAGAACAAAAAAGTAAGCAGTTTTATCTGGGACTAAATTTGGCAGGTCAAACAAGTCATGATCTCAATTTTAATTCTCACATGAACAAGCTCTTCCGGCAGCATGACATGTTGTAGTATTATGATGGTTAAAATTACTCGCTCCCAATTTACACGTAATTACCTCAGCAACATCTGGGTAAAGTTAAAATCTTCTTATCCAAGCTCCTAGTAAAGCTTCTTTTGCTTTACCAAATAAACCAGAAAGAATTCCCTCTTGTCTTTAACAGGTCCCATAACTCAAAACAACACTGTAATCAACATTGTATAGCACCATGATAAAAATGGCATCATAAGAGGTCAGCTTATAGCAATAATTCGTAGATCATATTTAATTTTAAAAACAAAAATAATTGAGGCATCACATTGAACACTGAGCTTGCCAAGGACATACTCAGACAGTAATTGTGCA